AGCTAGGTGGCGCCATACTGCATAGAGTGCCAGGCCTGGAGTCAGGAAGACTCATCTTCCTGAGTTCAAATTTGGCTCAGACCCTTGCTAGCTTGTGTGACCCTGGGTAATTCACTTAACCTTGTTTGCCTCAGTTTCCTCATCTGTAAAATAAGCTAGAGAAGGAAATAGCAAACCACTCCAGTGGGGTCATGAAGAATTGGACACGACTAAAAAATGACTGAACAACAAAAACCATACATTAGAATTTCTATAGGCCATATAGTGACCTGTATTATATATTAAACTACACGTTAACTATCTACATACTTTTATTTATTTTGTTAACTATGTCACAATTACATTTTAATCTGGTTCAGGCTACACTTGGGAGTGGGCCATACGATTGACACCTCTGTTCTAGGCAACTTGCTAAAACTATAATTTGCAGAGAAGAGACAAATCTGCATTGGTAGAGGGAGTTTACTAGAACAATGAAATCACAGTTCCAGTCTCTAACCCTATCATCTATCATTTTGTTCTTCAGTAAAATAATCCATAAGATCATAGCCTTAGAGCTGGAGAAGAGCTTGGGGCTATCCAGTCCAAGCCCTTAATTTTTACAGATGGAGAAACTGAGGCCTAGAGAGATTTAAATGACTTGCCCATGTTCATGCAGTTAGTAAGTGGCAGTGGTGAGATTTGAAGCTAGGTACTTTGACTTCAAATCACTTGCTTTTTCCATCATACCATACTCTCTCACTTCCATTTTCTACTTTCATTTATTTTATTAACATGCTGATATTCTTCACATATGTTCCTAAATCTCTGAGTGTTGTCATCATCTTGTCTTGTGATAATAGCAACATAAGTTTATATTTTGGAGGGACCATGAAGATGACATAGTCCACCATTCTTCTAGTCAGCCAATTTTTTAACTTTGTTATAATTCTTGACTTTTCACTCTATTTCCCCCTCTACGTCCAATCGGTGGCCAAATCTTGCCACTTCTACCTCTATGACATCATTCACATTTGTTACCTTCTCTCCATTCACACAGGCACCACCTTAGTTTAGGCCCTAATCATCTCTTGCCTGGATTATTGTATTAGCCTCCTAACTCATCTACTTGCCTCAAGTCTCTCTTCACCCTAATCATTCCTCCACAAAGCCACCAAAGTGATTTCCCTGAAATACAGATTTTCCTTATTCAATAAACTCCTATTAGGTCTACAACCAAATATTAACTTGGTTTCACCCCAAACTACCTTTCTAGCCTTATTACACATCATCATCCTGCTTGACACTACGAACCAGCCAAAGTGGACTTACTGTTTCTCATACATAGCTGTCATCTCCCACCTCCATGCCTTGTACCAACTGTGGCCCAAGCCTGAAACACTTCCTCCTCATGCCTGCCTCTTTAGATCCCCAGTTTTCTACAAAGATCAGCTCAAGTGCCATCTTCTTCTACATGAAGCCTTTCCTGATCCACACCATCACCAGCTGCTAGTCTTTTCCCTCCAAAATTACCTTGTATTGATTTTGTCTCTCCCTATATGTGTACACAGTATCTTCCCTAATATAAGCTCCTTGAGGGCATGGATTACTTAATTTTTGCCTTTGTATCTCCAGGACCTAGGACAGTACTTGGCACATTGTAGGTGCTTCACCCATGCTTATGGAGTGATTGACCAAGATCCCTATTATGTGCATTATCTCTAGGTATATCCAGGTCCTCTTTATGTTTTTCCCCCTGAATCTGTTTCTTCCTTTAATTCTTTCAGTGTTGATAATCCATAGTCACAGAAACTGTGAGTTGGAGGGGCCTCTAGAAGCCACCTAGCCCAACTCATACACAAAAGGAATCCCTAGTATAACCATGTTATTTGTGCCTTGAGAATATTCTAGCAACAGTGCTCTTGATATTGGTTCAGCACTTATTTCTTCTGGTCCTTTTTTTCTTCTGCTTATTTTAACCTAGAATATAGATCAATTATACTACAGAGGCTTTGATTTTACTTATATTTTTAGTGATTTTTAAATTTTCTTTTGAGGATTTTGGTAATGCTGCTTCTTTGGGATGTTTCTGTTACTGTTTTTGAGGGGGCCACTGAGGAGGAAGACTTCCTTGTGACTTTTCATTTCATCATCTTCCCAGAAGTCTCTGCTCTGGAATCTTTCCATTATTCCACTGCAGCCAAGTGGATGAAGAATGCCTACTGCTTAAGTAATGAGATTCAGTTGGATGGGCAGTGTTATGTCTTAGACAGACCCTGTAGCTAGACAGGGAGAGGAGGAGGAGAGGGAAAGAAGAGAAGGGGGAAGGAGGGTAGGGAAGGAGAAGGATGAAAAGGGAGGGAGGGGAGGAGGTGAGACTCTCCTGAATTAAAACTGAGACATTGTGCAGCCCTTTCTGCAATGCCAAGTGTTTCCCTGCTCTGAGGCCTCTGACATTCTCCCAGTGATGCCAGTTTTCCTGCTGGCTAGGAAATATCATGATGTAAGAATTACAATCATGGGCAACCCAAAGGGATGATAGAAACATGGATGGTGCATATCAAGTATTATCACTTGGCATTACAGTCTTCTCACTTGCACATGAGTAGTGTCAAAGACTTCAATAAAGACCTGCACAACCCTGAAAAGTGGAAAGATCATATCTTTCAAGTCTTTCATCATATCATATCATCAAAGTCAGAATAGGCGCTAAAAGATGCCAATCAACCAGCCCAAGCACCACCCTGGTGCCCACCAAATATTTAAGACTTAGAGAAAGGCCACACTGGGCAGATCTATTGAAGATTCAGGAAAGGATATGGATGAGTTGCACTGGATGAGCACTGGATGAGAAGGTGTGGATGTATCACTCTGTACTGGTGAAGGGAATGGGCCCATGGGTGAGATCACAGACACATTGGAGTAGAGGAGTATGCCATCACATGTCTTCAGCAAATGTGACACTGGACTACTTGCATCAATATTCTGCCCTCTCCCCTTCCCACTCCGTCAGCCCCAGGTTACTTGGAAATCCCCCTGTACCCAAGCTGCTTGTCTGCTCATAGGCCTTGGAGGAGATGGGTTAGTAACTCTCATTTCTGATGAGGTGAAGAACAGCAGGCCTGACCTTGGTCTCCTATGATCCTCCAGACCTTAACATCTGCCTGCTTCCTATGCCCTGCAGTCTCGCAGAACTCTCATCTTAACTAACTATATAGAGGAAAGGCTTCTGGCTCTTGCCATGTGCCCCACTACTGCCTCCTTAGGACTTAAAAACCTTTCTAGTAGCCCCACAGCTAAACTATCTTTAGTGCATTGTCTCCCCCAATTACAGTGTCAGCTCCTTGAGAGCCAAGGGTGGCCTCGATTTTTTTCTAACTGTATCCCCAGCACTTAGCAGAGTACTGAGTATATAGTGCTTAATAAATGCTTTTTCTTTCATTCATTTATTCTTTCATCCATTTGCATAGTTCCTCATCACCTTTTGCCTTGACTATTGGAACAATCTTCCAAAGAATACCTCTGATCAAGTTAGTCTATGGATCAAAAGTCTTCCATAGCTACCCATTGACTATCCCATTCATAAACTGGACTATTCAGCATGTTGTAAACTTATTTCCTTTCCATAACTTTATTCACACTACTTTCCACACCTGAAATGCCCTCTCTTATTTCCACCTGTTTAAATCACTCCTGCTTTTTACCTCTCCCACCAAGGCTATCTTAGTTCCTACAGTCAGAAGAGGTTCCTCCCTTCTCAGGTCCCATTGGGCACCCCACTCTTCCATCTTTTTCAACACTAGTGCCCTTTTTTTTTGCATTCTAGTTGTGTCTCTTCTTAGACAGTTACTAGTAGGGGCACTATTTCTCATTCACTTCACTTTTGTATCCCCTCCCCCCAGTCTTTGAACCCGTAGTTTTGCACATAGTAGTGCTCAGTAAATGTTTATTTAATTGAATTTATATTTTTAGTTTTGAAAGTCCAACAATCAATAGGCTATTTTCACTTAGACATTTTGCCAGTGAGAAGCAGTGTGGCATAATGGATAGAGAATCAATGGGGAAGTCAGGAGGATCTAGGTTCAGGTCCAGCCTCAGACCCACACTGGCTGTGTGATGTTGGGCAAATCACTTAACTTCTCAATGCCCCAGGCAATCCTAAGACTCCAACTGCAGAACAGTTGGTGAGCTACATTGGTAGAGTTTCCTCCCTGAGAATTCTCCATGTCAATAAAATCACAGGCCCAGATAGAAAACAGCCAACCAACTAACTCAAACTCCTAACCCTTTGCCTCTAGTTAGAGTAACTAACTCCATGCCATGCCCTGCTCAAGAAGTGGTTCCCTCTCAGTTGTCTCGAGGATGAAATACCAACTCCTTTATTGTTTGACCAGGCACTTAAATTCTTCCCAGTCTGGCCATAGCCTATTTTCCCAGACAAATCAATTACCCGCAACTCCTCCTTCTCATGCACCCTAACTCTAACCCAATTGCCCTATGTGCTGTTCCCTCTATGTGACTTTCCATCTCCTGCCTCTGAGCCTGGAATGTTCTCCTTCACCTCCACTTTAGAGACACCTTCTGTCCATGCACAACTCAGGCGCCACCTCCTAAAGGGGCCCTTTCTTGATTCCCTTGTTGTTAGTACCCTCTTTCGGCCAAGTTATTTTGGGTTTATTCTCTCTACATCTCTGCATCCCTGTTATTTCCCAAGTCAGGGGCTGGTTCATTTGGGGCTTTGTGCTGGCAATAAGCAATGGCAAGCATAGAGTGGTGGCTTGATAAATGCTTGTTGCATTGAATTGAGAGGTGGGTCTTAGTTATGGATGATATTGCATTTCAAGTAACCAGACTTCTGCCATTCACTGAGAGAGATGAGCATGCTTTTCCACTTGTCTTTTTTTTTTTTTAGGACATGAACTTTTTATTAATACAGTATAACATAACAATAATACTAAAACTCATTTTTAAAGTGAGATACCTATATGAAATACAATTTAAAGAAATAAATGCCTAGGCACACTTTTGTACCTTTATCATGAATGTTTAACTATTATTAATCATTACTTAATCTAACACTGGTCTTAGCCTCAGATTTGATTTGAATGAAACCAACTTCCTAGGTCACCCTGGATCTTTAGCTTGGAGTCAGATCCTCTTGTAATACAAATTTAGGTTTCAAGTTGAGTTTGAGAATAAAATCCCTTTCCATGGCCATTCTTCTCCTCAGCCAGAGGTGGTATATTTAGAACTAGGGAGTGATGGATCTGGAAGGGGATTCAGCTGCCACCTATTCTAACTCCCTCATTTTATATATGTAACCTTTATATACTCTGGGGTCCTCATTCCAACTCCCACTTGAATTAATGAGTCAGGATCCCTTGACAAGGCTGCTGACCACATCTCCCCCTCAGGGTTCTAAGGGTAAACCTAGGGGTCTTTCTAATGCTATTGACTCAAGTCCCCATTCTGGTATGCTCTTTTCAATAGCAACTGCCAGCTACAGTCAATTGTCATTGATTGACCTAGTGATTAGCACTCCAATATAATTTAACATCAATTAGCTTTTACAACAGGGATATTTACTGAAAAGATATAGAAAAAACAAAAGTATAAACACATCCCCCTAGCCAGGGGCACACTCTCCCCTATAGCACCATAGTCCCTGGAGCAAGTGGGCTCAAGTTTAAAATAGTTGCTACAAAGCATTCTCCCCACCAAATTCACTTTCAAATGTGGCAGAGTGAATGGAGGAAGTCTCCCCCTTGCTTGCAGAACCCAGCGTCTCAGCATCAATTCCCAGTCTGCTGGGCTAGATCAACCAGGTAGCTCAGAGCTGCAGGCTTCACTGGGCTCAGTTACCTGCCAACTCTGCCCTGGACTCTTGTGCTTAGATCCCTGGGGCTGTCTCAAGCTTTTGAAGCTTTCAAGGTTGCAACATAGTAAGTTTGGTTTCCAATTTTCCTTCCCCCAAGTCAGTAAAGAGTAGACACAACAGGGATGAAGCAGCAAGCAGCAAGGCCAAGTGGTTCTGGAGCCATGTAGACCTAGGTGGGAGAGTAGGTCCTTGGTGCTCTCTTCCCCTAGAGGCTTACACTCCACAGAAACCAGGCCCAGTTCTGGCTCAGCAGCCAATCCAAAGGGATTTCCTTCCCCTCAGGTCAGGCTGGCAGGAAACAGTTTCAGAATGTCTGAAATGGAAAGTCAAGCCCCTCGATTCCCAGTCACCACAGGCTTGAGCCTTCATTGGCTGACTGGCCCTGTTCCATTTGAAAAATTAATAGTTCATATTTCTATGCTGATTTAATGTGTGCAAAGTACTTTCCTTACAATAACCTTGACAAGGAAGTAATGTATTATTATCTCCATTATACATACAAGGAAACTGAGATCCCAAGATGTCAAATGCTGTATCCCTGGTCACACAGCTGGCAAGTGCCAGAGCCAGGGCTAGAACCCAAATCTTTTGGTGCCCAGTCAAGGGCTCTTTCATCAAGGATCACTTTGTCCCCTTGCTTCCATGACTCCAGAAGTGTTCCTGCCCTCAAAAGCACAGTAGTCCTACACCTCTCCCCACACCCCAGGAAATCAAGCCAGAGTCTAGCCCCACCCCCACTGCTCTGTCTCCTTCATATAAGATCATATTTGTAGAAAGAACTTCGAATAGTGCCTGCCACACAGTCAGCACTATGTAAATGCTTCCTTCCTTCCCTTTCCCTTCTTCCTGTCCATCACTGTCCCATCCCAGTCCTGTTACTGAGCTGCTGTGTGTCCTTGGGCAGGTCACTTACCTTTTCTAGGCCTTAGTTTTCTCATTTGTAAAATAAAATACATGGGTACCTGCTCCACAGAGTTGCTATGAGGGTAAAATGAGTTTTATCCCAGTCAGGAAGGTAGGGCAGCTGGTCTTGTGGAGCAGGAAGGAAGCATCCTCTCTCCCACTCGGAAACGGCCTATAGCCAGCATATAAAAGGAGAGCTCACCCAAATGTCTGGAGTGGGGTTGTGAAATCACCTTCAGTTCAGGCTGGGTTGGCAGGTGGGAGAGCAGGAGAGCCAGGGGAACCTCTGCATGACAGACCCTGGGGAGACTAGTTACCTGAGTGCCTGCTGTGTGTTACATTGTGTGCCTGCTGTGCTGTGTGTCCCAGGTGAGGGGCTTCTGAGGTAGGTAAGCTGTGCTGCCAAATGTCAGGAGGCTGATGGCCCCCGGTATACCACAGGGCTTGAAAGCACCAATGGCTCTGCCTAATGTCCTAGGATAGTGATAGCTCTGTCCCTCAATCATTGTCTTTGCCCATCTGGGCCCTCTCAGGCGTTATCTGTGGCCGAGGTCAGTAGAGCTACATAGTGAACTAGTCTAAGGGCTTTGGGAAACACACTATACCAAAGACTAGAACTCTTATCATGGCTGATCCTCATTTTAAGAAACAAACTTGACACAGAAAAACCTAAGCACAACAGAACCAGTCAGTGGGAGGACAAATTACCGAAGGAAGTTCTCACATGGGGCATCTGAAACCAGGACACTAGTTAAAAAGACATGGAGTGAGAAGCAGTATTGCTTAGTAAATGGAGAGAGGTCAGGCTTGGAGTCAGAAAGAACTGGTTCAAATCCTGCTTCTGACATAGAGTGACTATGTGACCCTAGGCAAGTCCCTTAACCTCTCACTGTTGCTCCAGGCAGCTTTCTCAAACTCAAAGTTGCAGAGCAGAGTTGTAGGCCTGCTTTGGTGGCCTGAGAGTTCCCTAGGTCTGGATCAAAAACTCAAATAAAAGCCATGGGGCTTTATCTCAGAGAGACAGCATGATATACTGGTGAGAGCTTGGGGCTTAAAATGAGGAGACCTGGGTTTGAATGCCCAAGGGCAAGTCACTTCACCTTTAGGATCCTGTTTGAGAGTCTGTACAATGAGATGTTACCTACCTCATGGAGAAGCTTGGAGGATTGGGCTTTGTAAACCATAAATAAGTATAGGAAAGCATGCTGGTATTGATACCCAAGGGTTTGGGCTGTTCTTCCCCATTGACCCTGCCTCTCTGGGCCACCCCCTCTTTCAGACAAGTCTCTCTCTTCCCAGCACTTTGTGCACTGCCCTCTTGACCTCCTTGTTGCACATGCTATAGATGATGGGGTTGAACATGGGTGTGATGATGGTATAAAGCACCGAGAACACCCGGCTGTGAGTCCTCGAGTAGGAGGCACTGGGGAGGATGTAGCAGAGCACCGAGGTGATATAGAAGATGCAGACCATGGTAAGGTGGGCAGCACATGTGGAGAAAGCTTTTTGGCGGCCCTCAGCTGAACGGATCCGAAGGATGGCAGCCACCACGTTGATGTATGAGACCACAATCAGAGCACAGGGGATGAGGGCCACCAGAAAGCTGAAGAAGAAAAGGCCCAGTTCATTGGGCCGTGTGTTGGAGCAGGCGAGCTTGAGGAGTGGTGGCAGGTCACAGAGGAAGTGGGTGATCAGGCGGGGCCCGCAGAAGTCAAGCTTGGTTGCCAGGAGTGTATGGGTGAGTGCATTGGTTAGCGCGAGGAGGCAAGAAATTGAGGTGAGCATTGCCCGGATCTGGGGGCTCATGAGGACCAGATAGTGAAGTGGTCGGCATATGGCAGCATAGCGGTCATAGGCCGTGGCTGTGAGTAGGAAGCACTCCCAGGGTGCCAGGAAGTGGAGAAAGAACATCTGGGTAAGACAGGCATGGTAGGACATGAGCCGCTCAGTGGTCAACAGATGTGCCAGAACCTGAGGGACACTGTTGGAGACATAGACAGCATCAAGAAGTGAGAGATTGGCCAGAAAGAAATACATGGGCGTGTGGAGCCTTTGGTCCAGAACAATGAGGCTAGTGATGCCCAGGTTTCCAGCCAGGGCCATGATGTAGACCAGCAGAAAGATGGTGAAGAGCACTGGCTTCAGATCCTTTGCATCCGTCAGACCCTCCAAAAGGAACTCAGAAACTGGAGTCCCATTTGCCCTGGGCAGGGAGCCTGGGGTCACTCCCCCCATGGACAACTGAGCCTGTGGGGAGATGGTTAGGAGTGTGAAGGTCTGGGCATTGGGCTCACAGCTGGAACATCCTCAGGATTGGAGGATTGCGGGAAGAGGGATGGATTTGAGACTCTGGCAGGGGAGGGAGGAGGAGGGGGATATCAGTTAGATATAGGAGGCTCTCTCTGTTCTCAGGCCAAGTGACTATGTGATGCCCTTTTCCTCCTCAACATGTCCCCCACAGACGGGAGATGGCCAGAACTACCCCTCCCCCATTTGAATTCCTCTCCTGGTGATATTTCCTGTTTCTGCCTCCTCCCAAGCCTGGATCACCACTCTGCCTCCATTTCTCACCCTCTGATATCTCAGGCCAATGGTGGAGGGAGAATGGAAGTCAGGCAACATGGAAAGGTGGGAGAGTTGTAGCAGTGATGGCATACTTGTGTCTAGTATATGGAATGGAAGTCAGACACTGAAAGGGTAGAGGGGGACTAGGGGCCTCTACAAGGCTAAGTCAGCAACTCCAATGCTCTGGAGTGACCATGCACATGGTGCCAACCCTGTCACCAAGAGGAATGTACAGAACAGGAAGGAGAGGGATGCATCCACATCATTACAGCTACCCAGGCACAATGGACTCCAGGCTCACCTCGGGCCAAATTCCTGCCTTTCTCTGCTTTCTAGTTTTTGTCCTTTGTAGAATGGCAATAGAGGCTTGGCCTTACTGATTGCTAATGTCCCGGTTAGTCCTACCCATCTGCAAGACAATGACTTAAGAGTTTAGCCTCCCGTATGAAAGACCTGTCCTCATCTATGCTAAGTGCCTATCTCCACATTGAAAGTTGCTGGGTCAACTTTGTAAGTCCCTGGACCTGCAACCCCTCTGTCCCTGCTTGGGCCCAGATCATCATGCTCTTGTCCCTCCAGCAGTCATTGCTCCAGATTGTCCATGGCCAGCAGGAAGGATAGGAGGTTTAATGCCAAGTGGTCCCCATCTGTAGATTAGCCTCACTTAGGTGTTTATACTCAGCAGCACTCACTGTTATCTCAAACTACTGAACCAGGATTTCTGACTCTTGCTTTCTTTAATCCTCAACACATCTTTACTCTATCTTGCTTTCAAATACTATAGTTTCAACACTTCCATTTGTCCTTAGTCACAAGTAACTGTGACTAGTAACTAGTAGCCCCCCTAGCATCTATCTTCACTCCCTACTTTATAGACCTTTGGCTAATCTTTACCTCTAACAGAATGGTAGTCTTTAATACCTGACTTGCTCCAGCCTGGAATACTGCCTTGCTCTCTTGGCATTGATGCTAGCCCCTACTGGACTGGTTGCCACCCAATATCTAGTTTGACATGGGCAAGAAAAAAAGCCTAAATATAGGTGGCAGGGCTCATCCAAGCTGTGGACAAAAGGATCTAAATGTGACGATGACCGGCAGAGAATGGTGGATAAAAATGGCTAGACAAAGAAGGAGGCCTTAGCCAAGAAGCTTCTCTTAGAATGAGAACCACTGGGGCTCAAAGACTTGGCAGAACCAGGCCTACAAGGGTTGATGTCCAGATAAGACTGAGAAAGCTAGCAGAAGAGTCTGCTGCTTCAGTGACTGGCAGAGCCCTTGGCTAGCTCACATCAGGAAGAAAAGTGGGGGGAACCTAAAAAAAGAAACCACCCTTCTTAGATGGAGGGGAGAGGGTCTGGACGAAAGGCTCTAGCTTTGAGCTGGCCAAACTAAACTCTGTATTTCACTGTCAGGGCAGGTAGAATTCATGTCCCAATCCCTCCCAGACCCTTCCAGTAAAAGAGATGGAAAGCCTCATGCTCTCAAATTACTGACTATAAAGGAGGGGTATGGATGGGTCAGATAACAATGAAGGAGCTCCTGTTCTTGGCTATTGGCAGCAAAGTCAGGGGGCCAGCATTTCATTTGGACAGATACATAAACACAAGGTCTCTCACTATCAACAAAGCAGGTTCCTCCCTGCTCCCAACCAGGTCACTCCAGAACACAAGCCCCATAACCCACAGAAGTTGTACCTATAGCCACTCACCAATGGGGTCTCAGCAATCCCCTCCCACTCTTGCCACCCTGGCACTCCAGGTAGGCAGCTTCCTCTGGCCATTTGATGGGGAGAAATTTAAGGGGTACATGGGGGGAAGTGCAGCCTCCCAATCCTTCCCAGTTCTTCTTCCCTGGGAGTCACTGATTTCCCTTCAGGGAAGAACAGGAGGATAATGGGGAGGGAGCCTTTGGGGGGTAAGTGATGTAAGAGACAGCAGAGGAAATAAGTAAACAAACATGAAGGGGAAGCAGGTTCTGGCTTAGAAGGCTCTAGGGAGTCTTCACTATTTATGGGCTCAGGCTCAGGGGAATGATGGATGGGCTCAATGTGACAAGAAGAAAATCGGAAGATACATACCAGGGCCAAGATGAGTGGCCTAAAGGAAAGATTCTCCAGCAATATGTAACTCAGTTATACAATGGAAAAGAGTACTGGCTTTGGAAGAGGCCTGTGATTCAAGTGCCAGCTGTATCTCTTCATACGGGTGACTTTGGGGAGGCCCCTTCCGCTCCCTGGGCCTCAATTTCCTCTTCTGTAAAATGAAGGAGTTGGGCTAAATGGCCTCTGAGGTCTACTCTAAAGCTAGGATCCTTGGGGGCAATCTCAAATGTAATCCAAAAGATACAGTGTCCATGTTGAAATCAAGTGGTGAATGGGGTCCTGCTCACATCACCAAAAGCTTAACAGGGCCTGAATTATTTCAGCCAAAAGGGAGTAATCTAGGTAGATCCCTACTCTGTACTGGCCAAAGCTGAGGATATTGGGGGATACTGGTGGATGTTGGTGGACTTCTCGCTTTCCAAGTTGGTTTCCTGACCATCAAAATGTTGTCCTGTGATTACATCTCCTAGCGCAAATCCTTGCACATGGTAGGGCCTCAGGGAAAGAGGTAACAAACAGAGTGTGGAACTTAAGCATGAGAAGAAGAGAGCCTGTGGGACTAGAGTTGTCTTAGAGTAGATTGAGAAAAAATAACAAGAGACAAAGTGTGTCAGAGAAACAAACAAAAAAAAAACTGAATTCACAAAAAAGCCAATATTAGAGATAAGAGGAATATATAAATCTAAATCTCATAACTTTAAATATGAATGGATTAAACAATCCAATAAAATAAATGAGTGACATACTGGATAAGAACTTAAATGCCATTTTAAGTCTTCAGTCCTAGGACGTCCCTGTCAAATCACAGAATTAGAGTGACAGAGGTGGAAGTAATCTCAGTAGCCATATAGTCCAATGGCACCGGCAACCCTGAGGTTCCTGGAAGAGGAACAGTGGCCCAGTTGTGACACCATCCCTAGCAGGGCTATTCTCAGTGGCAAAAGAATAGACTCAAAGTACTGTCCCCACTGACCTGGGTTCTGAAATTCCACCATTCCCCTATTTGTTCCATTGGGTCTTTAAAGATTTGGGTCTTTATGAAATAAAAAGGCCCTAGGAGGAAGAAACCCGTTTCATCATTTCCTAAGGGGAAATTAGTTGATAATTCTTTGAGAACAAGGCCTTATAGAAACAAAAGAGTATAATATGTATGTGTGTGTGCATGTTTTTTGGGGGTAGGTGGTGGGGAGGGAAAGTGAGGCCACCAGGACTGAGAGGTGGGTAGCACCAAACACAACTACTGATTTTTCAGTTTTAATGGGGATAGGGCCCTGCTTAGGAGGATCTAGGCTTTCTTTGTCATTCATTTCAGAGTAGGTGGATCAAAGCATAATCCATGTAATAACTTATCAGGAATATTCTCCCCTGCCCCTCCAAGTCTGAGACATGTTACTGGGCAAGGTTCTGCCTAAGCTCCTCAGGGGCATGTACACTTTTTCTCAAGGGTTAGGTCCTGGCTGGTAGATTTTTTTTCTCATGGATTAAACAAACTCTATGCAATGGCACACTCTTAGGAGGGAGTATCAGATGACTGACTTGTAATGTCAGTCATATGGATTACGAGACTGAAAGAGACTTGACCTGGGATTCAGGTGACCTTTCTTTGGGCTTCTTCAGTTTCCTCATCTGTAAAATTAGAGGTACAATAGATTTAGAACTAGAAAAGACTTTAGAGATCATTTAATATAAACTCTTAGTTAACAGAGGAGGAAACTGAGGCCCAGAGGGAGGAGGTGACTTGTCACACAGGTGGTAAATGGTAGAGCCAGGATTTGAACCCAGATTCTTTAATGCCAAATCCAAGAACCTTTCTGTGTATAGTTTATGGTGTCTAACATCTCTTCTAGTCCTGATATTCTGTGGTTCTACATTGAAAACATGGATAAAATTCAAAGTAAAGTATGGTATAGTGGGGAAAGTGCTAGATTTAGGGTCGGGGCCTTCTCAGCTACTTATTTTGTATGTGTAGGGAGTGGGGCAACAGTGTACATGGGCAGTCTTAAATCAAATTGAGGAATTCCTCAAACAAACTGATGGGATGGGGGGATAGAACCAAGATGGAGTAGAGGCAGAAACTCACCCAAATTCCCTTCCAAACAACTTTAAAATAACACCTCAAATTGAATTCTGGAGCAGTAGAATCAACAAAAGGTCAGAGTGAAACAATTTTCCAGATTCAGATAACATAGGAGGGTGGCAGGAAAATTTGTCACACGGGGGTGGTGGTTGGGGTCAGACAACCAGTCAGTAGGTGTTGCATTGCCCATACACAGATTTAGGTCACAGTTTCAGAGTGGAGAAGAGTGCTTGTGGTTGCTCACAAGGGAGCAGGGGCCCTGGTCTCAGGTCCAAGGCAGAAAAGACCACTAGTGCTTGCAGCCCCAGGGGAACAAGAGCCCAAGTGACAGTTCCAGGGCCAAAAGGAATGATAACACCTATGACTGCAAGGGAGCAGAGACACTTGTCACAGTTGCAAGGCCAACAGAAGCACCAGCACTTGTGGAACAAGGAACTTGGAGAACAAGGTCCCTTCCTAGGTAAAAACCAGATCATAGGCCAGAAGAGCAGTGACCTCACTTCTTACTTCATACAGTCTTGGAAGCACTGAAAACTTACAGACTCCCAGAGCTAACAGCACAAAAAACCTGAAGCTTGGGACAGTGAACCTTCCACCCTGGGAGCAGAGCCCAACTTTAATATAAAGTTATAAGTCGAGAAATAGGCTGAAAAATGAGCAAATAACAACAACAAAAGAACTTGATCATAAAAATATACTATGGTGACAGGGAAGATGAAGACACAACAAACTCAGAAGAGGACAACGATGTCAAAACAGTTGCAAGCAAAGCCTCAAAGAAAATGGGCTGAAATGAGCCCAGCAAGAATTCCTGGAAGAGCTCAAAAAGTATTTTAAAAATCAAATAAGAGATGTAAAGGAAAAATTGGGCAAAGAAATGAGAGTGATGCAAAAAAAATTATGGAAAGAGAGTCAACAACTTGGTAAAAGAGGCACAAAAATGCTGAAGAAAGTAACACCTTAAAAACCAAAATTGTCAAATGGTAAAAGAGGCACAAAAATCCACTGAAGAGAACTCCTTAAAAAGTAGAGTTGGCTAAATGGAAAAAGATATACCAAAGCTCACTGAAGAAAATAATTCCTTAAAAATTAGAATTAGGCAAGTGGAAACTAATGACTCCACAAGACATCAAGAAACAATCAAACAAAGTAAAAGAATGGAAAAAAAGTTGAAGAAAATATGAAATATCTCATTGGAAAAAAAAAACAACTTGACCTGGAAAATAGATCAAGGAGATATTATTTAAGAATTATTGGACTACCTGAAAGCCACGATTAAAAAAAAAGCCTAGACATAATATTTTAAGAAATTACCAAGGAAAACTGCCCTGATACCCTAGAACCAGAGGGTAAAAGAGAAATGGAAAGAATCCACCAATCACCTCCTGAAAGACATCCTAAAATGAAAACTCCCAAACTCCCAAGTCAAGGAGAAAACTGCAAGTAGACAGAAAGAAACAATTCAAATATCAAGGAACCACAGTCAGGATCACATAACATTTAGCGGCTTCCACATTAAAGGAGCAGAGGGTTTGGAATATGATATTTTCTGGAAGGCAAAGGAGCTAGGATTACAACCAAGAATCACCTACCTAGCAAAACTGAGTATAATCCTTCAAGGGGAAAAGTGGATATTTACCAAAATAGAGGATGTTCAAGCATTCCTGATGAGAAGACCAGAGCTGAATAGAAAGTCTGACTTTCAAATACAAGACTCAAGAGAAGCATAAAAAGGTAAACAGGAAAGAGAAATCATAAGGGTGGAGAAGGTTATAACATAAGGTTAAACTGTTTACATTCCTATGTGGGAAACTGATACTTGTAACTCCTAAGAACTTTACCATTATTAGGGCAGTTAGAAGGAGTATATATACATATGTATATATGTATACACACACACGTATGTATATGTATATACAGAGGGCACAAGTATGAATTGACTATGATGGGATGATTTTAAAAATAACATTCAGGGGTGAGAAAGAGGGATACACTGGGAGAAGGGGGGAGGGAGAGGTAGAATGGGCAAAATTATTTCACATAAAAGAGGCTCAAAAGGAAGAGCTTTTACAGTGGAAGGGAAGATGGGGATGGTGGTGGGCAACATCTGAACCTTACTCTCATCAGTACTGGCTCAAAGAGGGAATAACATACACACTTAGTTGGATATAGAAGTCTATCTTACCCTAAAGGGAAGTAAGAGGGGAAGAGGATAAGAGAAGGAGAGAGCTGACAGAAGGATGGAAGTAGTCAGAAGCAAAACAGACTTTTGAGAAGGGACAGGGTAAAAAGAGAGAGAAAAAAGATAAATAGGTAAAAGAGGATGGAGGGAAATATACAGTGAGTAATCATAACCATGAATGTGAATGGGATGAATTCACCCATAAAATGGAAATGGATAGCAGAATGGATTAAAAATCTGAATCTAACAATATGTTGTTTATAAGAAACACACTTGACACAGAGAGACATACAGAATAAAAATAAGGGGCTGGAGCAGAATATATTATGCTTCAGCTGAGGTAAAAAAACAAACCCAAACAGTAGAGGTAGCAATCATGATCTCAGACAAAGCAAAAGCAAATATAGACTTAATTAAAAGAGATAAGCAGAGAGGCAGTGAGGTGGTGCAGTGGATAGAGCTCCGGCCTTGGAGTCAGGAGGATCTGAGTTCAAATCTGGCCTCAGACACTTGACAATTACTAGCTATGTGACCCCGGGCAAATCACTTAACCCTGATTGCCTCACCAAAAAGCAGAGAGACAGAGAGAGAGATAAGCAGGGGAACTACATTTTGCTAAAAGGTACCACAGACAATGAAGTAATATTAATACTAAACAAATATACACCAAATGGCATAGCATCCAAATTCTTAAAGGAAATGTTAAATGGGTTACAGGAGGAAACAGACAGTAAAACTACACTAGTGGGAGACCTCAACTTTCCTCTCTCAGATAACTCTAGACAAATCTAACCATACAATAAACAAGAAAGAAGTTAAGGAGATGAATATAATTTTAGAAAAGTTAGATATGATAGACCTCTAGAGAAAAGTGAATGGGAATAGAAAGGAGCATACCTTTTTCTCAGCTGTACATGGCACCCTCACAAAAATTGACCATACATTAGGGCATAAAAATTTCACAACCAAATGCAGAAAATAAGAAACATTACATGCATCCTTTTCATATCACAATGCAATAAAAATTACATTCAATAAAGGGCCATAGAAACAGTTTAAAAATTAATTGGAAACAAAATACTCTAATCTCAAAAAATGAGTGGGTCGAAGAACAAATCATAGAAACAATAAATAATTTCATTAAAGAGAATTGACAACAATAAGACAACATACTAAAATTTATGGGATGCAAAAAAAGCCCACTTCTTAGGGGGAAATTTATATATCGAAATGCTTACATCAATAAAAAGTAAAAATTTCTATCTCTAAATGTGTACATTAATAAAAAAGAGAAAGAACAGATCAATGAATTGGGCATGCAACTAAAAAAAACTAGAAAAAGAACAAATTAAAAATCCCCAATTAAACACCAGATTGGAAATCTTGACAATAAAAAGAGAGATTAATAAAATTGAAAGTAAGAAAACTATTGAACTAATAAATAAAACTAGAAGTTGGTTTTATGAAAAAAAAAACTAGTAAAGTAGATAAACCAATGGTTAATTTTGTCAAATTGATGAGATGATAGGCTACAAAAAGTCACTGATCAAATTGGAATTCCCCAATCAAACCAATGATATATTATAGAGCATTGGCCATGATCTGAAGGCAACTCATGGACAGAGAACTACTATTCCCTGACTGAAGAACAGCAATGCCTCATCATGGCCTATAAAAGCAAGCTGACCTGATTCTTTGGGACTTTCAGTTCTTGGGGACTCACCTTTTCCACTGAATCTTCTGACAAAATGTAGCAAGGGGAAGGGGGAAGGGATTTCTCTCTTTCTATCCCCATTCCCACCTCATCAGCACCAGGAAGAGCAATGGCAACTTATAGCAGAAGCACACAGTAGGGGGAGACATGCTTGCCCACAGCTTGAAAGACAAGTTCAAGGACAAGCTTCTTGAATTCCAGCCTCTTGTGTAAAGCGGAAGGCAGTGTGTGAGTGTGTGTGTGTGTATATGGAAGGGGCGGTATTTGAGTTTCTTAGGCAGCAGCATCCTGGAATATAGTCTTCTAGTAGAGAAAGAGATTTTCTGTGTAGCACCAGCTTTGAGAGTTACCTTGTGGCTAACTCCAAGTTTGAGAGTTCCTGAGTTCAAGAATTGAGGCCCTTCACCTAAAGAAGGTGATGCAGTATACCTTTTCAAGAAGGAAGTCCACATGGTCCTTGCTTAGTATCCTACTTGGAGAGCAAAGCCAGACCACGACTTGGACAATCCAAGTTCAGAGAGAAGGGTTTTGCTTGTTCAGCAAGTTCCAACACATGTTGACTTTTTAAGGAGTCGAATCCATAGTGGTGCTATGCGTCTTGAGGAGATTGTGTGGGTAGGATTCACTGAGAAAGAGTTTTATTGAAGTGACAGAGGACTGCCCTGATGGCAAACCCAAGTCCAGTTCCCTTTGTGAGTGGTGGTAGAGGGAAAGCTGAGAGGATCTTTGAATGTTTAATATTCCTGTATTTGTTAACGAGCTCCTGAGAATCTTTACCTTGTGGCTTTTCTGTGGGGAGTGAACAATGGTTCTCCCACAACCGATATTGCCAATAACCATATTGTACACTGAGTGACTGCCTGGGAGTTGGTGACTCCCATTACACATATTTGGGGAACCTCTACACAAACTACACTGAGGCTTTACTTTGGAGAATTTCCTATATTAACTGGGGAGGCATGGGGAAGTGGGGAGGGACAAATAACCAAAAGAAGAGAAGTTGACCCACTAGGTCAAGACCTCAGGATGGAACATGGGTTGTGCAAGCCCAGAGTCCTTGGCTGGGGTGGAGGGGGAGGGCAAATAAGCCATGGGCAAAATTGGTGATCTTGGGCAAGTCTAGTCACTTCTCTGGGCTTCTCGGTTTTCCTTCTCTATAAAATGAGAGGAGTGAACTAAAGTTAAACCTGACGTTCCTTCTAGTCCTGATATTCTACAATTCCATCTTTAAAAGTGGGTAGAAACAATAAATACAATGTAATACTCCAGTCCCAAGAGCTGAAAACAGAATATTCTCATTCAATTGCTTGGAAAAGCTACCCCAATTCTCTCCCTTCTCCCAATATTCCACATGTATTCCTAAACAAACCTGGAGGAAAATACAAATTTGAGGTTTGACTTTTTGAGGTTTTCTTTTCTTTCAGTGTGTGTGTGTGTGTGTGTGTTTCAGTTCATATTTGTGATTTCAACAGTGTGGGGGACTCCTAGTATACAAAATCCCTCTGTCAATGCAGATTGACCATGTTAGTAATTTATAGTCTTAGAGACTATAAATGACAGTAACAAATAAGTGACTTGCCCATGGACACACAGTCAGTGTGTCAGAGACAGGTCTTCCTGACTCCAAAGCCAACCTTCTCTCCTTTATATCATCCTGTCTCACACACACATATTCTCATTCTCTCTCTCTCTCCCTCACACACACACACACACACACACACACACACATTCACACTCACATGTGCCCATGGATTCAAAGCTGGTACAGACCTTCTAGACAATCTAGTTTGATCCCTCATTTTACAGATGAGGAAATGGGGCCCAGGAAGAGAAAAGCACCTTTGCCCAATTTCACCTACAGAGCTGGGCTTGCCTGTAGGTCCTCCACCTCTCCCTGCTCTGATGCTTCCATTCTCTTGGCCTTAGCCCTTGTAGATGCTCAGGCCTCAACACTTGTATCACAATGGCAATATCTGCGACCAGCATAAGTGGATCTGGTGCACCTGGGGTGGTAGGCCAGCGGGTACTGCCAGAGAGAGGCATTGTAGCAAAGTCTCAGGTCTGACTCCTCATAGCTTATGTCCAGGAAGCCCATAGGGTAGCTCCAGAGCCTAGGGCAGACAGGTTACCAGCAGAATTCTCTGTAGGCTGCAGTAGGTTGCTTCTTCTCTCTCCCAGCTCAACCCTGCCTGGTTCATCCCTGGGCTCTGACCATGATCCTACCTCATGAGAGGGGCGCCTTCACTAGATAGTCCAAGGAGTGCAAAGGATGATCAGAATGCCCATGGGACTCAAGATCCAGGCTCTTGGACTCCTTGGCCCTCTCTTCCCTGCTGTTATCTTCTGAAGGCTGGGCAGGGCATTAACTCTGTGCTATTGACAACAATCCATGATGACAGTTACTATTAAATGGACAACCAACTGTAGAATCTTGTTATAAGTATCACAGGATCCTAGACTGAGTTGGAGGAAGGGATCCTTGAAGTCATGAAGTCCAACCTCTTCATTTTACTGAAGCATGGAGAGGGTGAGAGTGTCTTGCCCAAGTCACACAGGTAGGAAGTGTCTGAGGCAGGATTCAAACACAGCCTTTCCTGACCCCAACCAGTATGTCCCATTACCCCTCTGACTGAAGGGCCAGTTCTCATCCACTAGACCATTTCTACCTCATCCCTAGGTCCTCTGGCATTGCAGCCTCAGTGGGGCACACAACAAAGGCGCACCTTCAAGCATGCCCCAGGCCTGCTTTCTTCACACTTTGGCCTGCCTCTCATCAGTCCATTCCTGCTTAGTGTTCTGCAGGGCTTGAGTTTTCTGCTCATCTACTTGGACATAGTCAACTCGATGCTCTTCTGAAATCAAAGGTTTCTGCAAGAGAAAAACAGACCAATTTGCATTATCTCAGAATAAATCCATGTAGAACCCTCTACTTTCCTCTCCTCTCATCCTGGACACTGGTGCTCTTCATGCTCCACTTAGCCTTGGAATGTAACATGATGTGACCCAACATTGTTTTTATAGTCAGAATTCTATCAAGCATTTATTAAATAAGTACCTATTGTGTACCAGGCCCTGGGGACACAGAGACAAAAGTGAGAGCCTCCTGCCCTCCAGCAGCCTTTATCTGAACTGGAGAGACAACATCTTCATATATCAATATATCACAACACATGCAAAACTGTAGGAGGGAGGTGGGGAAGGAAAGAAAGGAGGGTCTTAATAGCAACTGGAGGAGGGGGCAAGGAATCAAGAAAGGCCTCATGCATAAGATAAGGCTAGAGCTGAATCTTGAAGGAAACCAGGGATTCAGAGAGGTCGTATTGAGGAGGGAGGACATTACAGGCATGGGAAACAAACTATGCAAAGACATGGGGATGGGAGGAACAGTAAGAAGGTCAATTTGGATATCCCACAGAGTATAACATGTACAATAAGGAAGTAGTGTAGAAGAAGGCTGGCCAAGTTGTGAAGAACTTGAAGTATCAAGCCAAAGTATTTATTTGATCTTGGAGACCATAAGGAGCCATTAGAATCTGTTAAGTAGAGGGTGACATGATTAGAATCGAACTTTGGCAGCTATATGGAAGATGGATTAGACCGAGGAGGCTATTGCAGTAGTCCAAGCAAGAAGCGATAAGTTATTGAAGAGGGCAATGGCTATGCAAGTGCAGAAGAAGAAGTAAATCCAAAAGATACTGAAGAAAGAGGAGCAACAAATGACAATTGACCAGATATGGAGATTGAAAGAGAGTCAAAAGTCAAAGATTTGACTGAAGTGGCAAGTCTGGATGACTAGGAGGATGGGAGAGCTCTCAGCAATGATAGGAAAGTTTGGAAGAGGAGAAGGTTTTGAGGGGAAGGGATAATGTTGGGGACACACAGAGTTTGCCATCAAATTCAAAATGTCCAAGAGCTAGTTGGTGATGTGGGCCTGGCACTCAAGAAGGAGCCTAGCAATAGGTATATAGATTTGGGAATCATCAGCATAGAGATAATAATTGAACCCATGGGAGCTGATGAGATCAGTGAATGAGATGGTATAAAGAGAAAAGAAAAGAAATCCCAGGATAGAGCCTTAGGGGACACCCACAGTTAGTGGGATGGATATAGAAGAAGATCCAGAAAAGGAGCCATCAGATATTTAGGAGGAGCGTCAGGAGAGAGCAATGCCATGAAAACTCATTGAGGAGAGAATATCCAGGAAAAGGTGATATACAGTGTCAAAGGTTGCACAGAGTCAAGAAGGATGAGGACTGAAAAAAGGCCATTACATTTAATCATTAAGAGGCTACTATTAACTTTGGAGAGACCAGTTTTGGTTGAATGATGAGGTAGGAAACTGGAAAGAAAGAGATGGATGAGTGGGAGGAGAGGAAGTGGAGGCAATGAGGGTAGATAGTTTTTTTTTTCCCTAGGACTTTGTGAAAGAGAAGAGAAATATAGGCACTACATCTGCCTATTCCACTGAAATGAACTCATTTGAGCTTTACTTCCCTTTTTTTAAAAAAAAATTAATTTATTTATTTTTAGTTTTCAACATTCACTTCCACAAGATTTTGAGTTCCAGATTTTCTCCCCATCTCTCTCCCCTACCCCACCCCAAGAAAGCATGCCTTCTGATTACTCCTACTACCAATCTGTCCTCCCTTCTATTGCTCCCCTCCCTTCTCTTATCTCCTTCCTCTTCTATTTTTCTGTAGGGCAAGATAGATGTCTGTACCCTATTACTTGTGTATATTATTTCCCAGTTACATGTAAAAACAATTTTTAACATTTGTTTTTAAAACTTCGAGTTCCAAATTCTCTCCCTTCCTCCCTCCCCACCCACCCTCATTGAGAAGGCAAGCAATTTGATACAGGTTATACATGTGTAGTCATGCAAAACACTTCCATAATAGTCATGTTGTGAAAGACTATATTTCCCTCCATCCTATCCTGCTCTTCCATTTATTCTATTCTCTCCTTTGACCCTGTACCTTCTCAAAAGTGTTTGCTTCTGATTACCCCCTCCCTCACTCTACCCTCCCTTCTATCACCTTCCCCCCTCTCTTATCCCATTCCCCCCTACTTTCCTCTGGGGTAAGATAGGTTTCTATACCCAATTGAGTGTGTATATTATTCCCTCTTTAAGCCAAATCTGATGAGAGTAAGGTTCATTCATTCCCTCTCATCTCATTCCCCCCTCTTCCCTCCACTGTAAAAGCTTTCTCATTTCTAATCAACAGCTTGCTGAAGGAGACCCAAAAAAAACTGAAGAAAATAATATCTTAAAAAATAGACTATACCAAATGGCAAAAGAGGTCCAAAAAGCCAACAAGGAGAAGAATGCTTCAAAAAGCAGAATTGGCCAAATGGAAAAGGAGCTCCAAAAGCTCACTGAAGAAAAGAATTCCTTAAAAATTAGAATGGAGGAAATGGAAGCTAATGACTCTATGAGAAATCAAGAAATTATAAAACAAAACCAAAAGAATGAAAAAATAGAAAACAATGTGAAATATCTCATTGGAAAAACAACTGACCTGGAAAATAGATTCAGGAGAGACAATTTAAAAACTATTGAACTACCTGAAAGCCACGATCAAAAAAAAAAAGAGCCTAGACATCATCTTTCAAGAAATTATCAAGGAAAACTGCCCAGATATTGTAGAACCAGAGGGTAAAATAGAAATGGAAAGAATCTACCAATCACCTCCAGAAAATGATCCCAAAAGGAAAACTCTCAGGAATATTGTAGCCAAATTCCAGAGTTCCCATGTCAAGGAGAAAATATTGCAAGCAGCCAGAAAGAAACAATTCAAGCATTGTGGAAACACAATCAGGATAACAGAAGATTTAGCAGCTTCTACATTACGGGATCCTCCAGAGGGCTTGGAATATGATATTCCAGAGGTCAAAGGAGCTAAAACCAAGAATCAACCTACCCAGCAAAACTGAGTGTAATCAATGGGGGTGGGGAGGTGGGAAGGGGATTGACATTCAATGACAGAGAGGAATTTAATGCATTCTTTTTATTTATTTATTTATTTTGCTAGGCAATAGGGTTAAGTAACTTGCCCAGGGTCACACAGTTAGTAGGTGTTATGTGTCTGAGGCTGGATTTGAACTCAGGTCCTCCTGACTCCAGGGCCAGTGCTCTATCCACTGCACCACCTAGTTGCCCCTATTTAATGCATTCTTGGGGGGAAAAAACAGAGCTAAATAGAAAAATTGACTTTCAAATACAAGACTCAAGAGAAGCATGAAACAGTAAATAGGAAAGAGAAATCATAAGGGACTTATTGAAGTAGAACTGTTTACATTCCTACATGGAAAGATGATATTTGTAACTCATGAGATCTTTCTCATTATTAGGGTAGTTGGAGGGAATATATACATACCTACATACATATAGATAGATAGATAGATAGATAGATAGATAGATAGACAGACAGACAGACAGACAGAGGGCACAGGGTGAGTTGGATATGAAGGGATGATATCTAAAAAATAAAATTGAGAGGTGAGAGAGGAATGTACATACTGGGAGAAGGAGAAAGGGAGAGGTAGAATGGGGCAAATTATCTTACATAAGAGTCAAAGCATTTACAGTGGAGGGAAGAGGGAAGAGGTGATAGGGAATGAGTGAACCTTACTCTCATCAGATTTGGCTTAAAGAGGGAATAATATACACACTCAATTGGGTATAGAAACCTATCTTACCCCAGAGGAAAGTAGGGGGGAATGGGATAAGAGAGGGGGGAAGGTGATAGAAGAGAAGGTAGAGTGAGGGAGGGGGTAATCAGAAGCAAACACTTTTGAGAAGGTACAGGGTCAAAGGAGAGAATAGAATAAATGGGAGAGCAGGATAAGATGGAGGGAAATATAGTTAGTCTTTCACATCATGACTATTATGGAAGTGTTTTGCATGACTACACATGTATAACCTATATCAAATTGCTTGCCTTCTCAATGAGGGTGGGTGGGGAGGGAGGAAGGGAGAGAATTTGGAACTCGAAGTTTTAAAAACAAATGTTAAAAATTGTTTTTACATGTAACTGGGAAATAAGATACACAGGCAATGGGGTATAGACATCTATCTTACCCTACAGAAAAATAGAAGGGGAAGGGGATAAGAGAAGGGAGGGCAGATTGGGGGTAGGAGTAATCAGAAGGCATACTTTCTTGGGGTGGGGGAGGGGAGAGAGATGGGGAGAAAATTTGGAACTTACAATCTTATGGAAGTGAATGTTGAAAACTAAAAATAAATAAATTAAAGAAATAAAAAATGAGCCTGATCATCAATGAAAGAAAGTCTATTAAAAAAAGAATCATTTGAGGAATTCTTACAAAAAATAAAAAGACCCTACAAGTTAGCAGAATATCTAATTTATAAACCTTCAAAACAAGAGAAACACAAAAAGGAAAAATAAATACAATTATCAAGAAAGTATCAAGCAATAAAACCAATTCTCTCATGTTGTGATCATCACTGTTTTTATAGTAATTGGACTAATGGATAAAATGCAGAACAAAGAAGGATCATTCAAGGGACAAAAAAGCCCTAATTGGCTGAAGAATTAAGGGAATGTTAAAGAAAGAAAAGCAGGGAAGAATGTAGAGGTAAATTCATAAATTCATTATTGGCTATATCCCATTATCCCCTATAAGTGAGGCAATATCTTATGTGGAAAAAAATAACACAATGAGAAGTTGCTCTAGTGTGTAGAGAAGCACCCACACACAGCATAGACATAAACAGAGAAGAGACAGCTATTTTCTTAATCCATAAACAAGAATGGGGAGCTATGGGGTCATAGAAGGGGAGGAACTGGAATGAGGGGATTAGAGAGTTTCACCCAAGAAGAAGAAATGAAAGAATGCATTCCCAT